ATATATATATATACACACACACACACACACACACACACACACACACATCACAGCATGATCCATGAATACAATATATTCAAATACAAATCAGTGATCAAATAAATGAAGCCTTGGTGTGCATAAGAGACTCTTAGCTGTTTCAAACTTGTGACTGGTAGTTCACAATTAGTTTTACTGGTTTAGTTTAATTAAAATTTAATTAACTTTATATTTTTTTATCAATAAAATAAAAAATACACATTGAGGGGCATATATATATATATATAATATGAAATATCACGGTTTAAAATATTACAATAAACTACAATGTATTATATAAAATACTAAAAAATAAATAAATAAAATTACATAATACTTTTGACTGCATCTTTAGTAATTTAATTTTGGGGTGTATATATATATATAGAGAGAGAGAGAGCGAAAATCATTATTCTAATGTGATTTAGCTGATTTCCAGTGCCGCTCGTTAATTACATGCTTTTATTTGTTCAGTGTCATCTTGTTGAAGCTTTCTCCGGCCATTAATTAGGTTTACTAAAATTGTGTATCCAGCAAAACAACACCTCTAATTACCCCTGACCTCGTTTAATGCAGATCTCACATCTTCTCCCCCTGTGATTCCTGTTTTGAATGCGATACACATCTATCTACGGTAGTTATATTGGTTATAGATGTTGGGGAAACTTTAAGTTTGTGGTAACATCTTGTTGAAAGTCACAGACAAGAACTCCACCATCTCTCTGGTCGTGTGCTGATAAAGATTTGATTTGATGTAACCTGGAGCTTTTATTCTGCACTCTAATGGGCCGCATTAGTAGTAATGCTAGTAATGAGAATGAGCGTGAATTCATTAGCAGGGTAAATGAACAGGCCTGTTTCTCTCTGGGAAGACAATAGCTGATGATGGCGCTGGTTTGAAGGGGCTCTTGGGAGGTGATGAGTCACGCTCACATCAGAATTCAGCTCAGATGCGGCGCGGTGGATTTCACCACCTGTTACAGACCCACTCGCTTTCTGTCAAACCTCATGACATACAGAACATACATGTGTCCAATCTGATAAACGTGGATGACAGATACATGCATAGATCATAGATGCATCAGCATCTCAGCTGATGTGATCCATGTCTGGATCGTATTTCAATGCAATATCAAAACAAAGAGATCAAAATATGTTTTACTTAAAGCCTTAAGGCTTTTTTTTTAGACTATTAAGAATTTGTTTGCATTGTGAGATTGTTTCTTAATGACAATTAAGTGGAGGCTTCTTGTATATTTGTCAAGTAGGTTGCCAAGTATTTATTAATATTTAATAATCTATTTAATAAAAGTAATGTGCTTAATACTGTGGAATCTTCATCTTCATATTTATTTATTAATACTTCATAAATTATTTTACTTAATTTTAACAAATAATGTTAATTTTATAAATGAACTATTGTATTACTACTACTAATACATAATAATAATAATAATTATTGTTGTTGTTGTTATTATTAGTAGTATTAGTATTATTAGTAGTAGTTTTATTAGTATTATTATAATTATTTACTGTATTAAAACACCTTTAATGTGTTTTAATGCTGTAGAATCTTCTGCAGAATCTTCAAAATCTTTAGTATTTCTTTATCATTTTAATAAATATTATTAAATGTAATGTTAATATTATGAATCCTACTACTACTACTACTAATAATAATAATTTAGTAGAAGTAGTAGCAGCAGCAGTTATTTATAATAATAATAATAATAATAATACATTATTATTTTTTAATGATTCATTCTCGAGGTTATCTTGTCCAGCCACAAATACTTGGTATAATGAAGTAAATAGGTCATGTATTTGACTACTTTCTGAATGTCTTTGAACCCGTAGGTTCGTCTCAGCCCAGCGTAATGTCAGCAGTGATCACAGGTGCTGCTCCTTTCCAGACAGAAAGACCGTCTGGTTTGGCCGAAGTGCAGGAGCCGCCAGCTGCTCAGGCCACCGAAGCCCCCAAAATACCAGCTGAACCCCTGGCAGCCACCACACCCAAGAGCCCACGGGACACATCTGCAGGTAGAGAACAAAGCTCTGCACAAAAACACCATGATGTTGAGTGTATGCCGATATTATATACATTTCATGTGCATTATGATCTCAGAATTTATCTTTCTATAAAGCAGTAAAGTCTTATTGCATGTAATTGTCTTCTAATACTGTTCATCTCCTTAATATGTAGTGCATTTCGCTCATGTACTTCCTATGTGTTTTGTATCAGGGATTATGGGATTCCTACAGGAGCCCCTGTGGAGCAAATATCTAATCTATCAGTAATTAAAGCTAAGGCTGTCCACTAGGGGGCACTGTAACGAGTGCTAGACTGAGTTACATTATCAGTTGTCCAAACTAGTCAAATCCATCCATTCTGGTATCCCAGGGGCCTTTAGGGCTTCACAGCTGTATGGGGTTAGTACAGTGCAGCTGAGACCTAGAGTCATGCCACTGGTTTATATCAAGCTCAAGAACCATATTCTGCCTGGTTTGATGCTCCGGGCTGGTTGTTGATGTGCAAACAGTGTGTTACACACCTAACAGATGGAGGGTCAGACCTGTAGAGTCATGTTAACTCATGCATGAGTCAGTTATCTAGTGCCTGGTCATTAAATCACCCTGATGGAAATGAGATGTTGACATCATAAGCGTACTTATAATAGCAAATGTAATATTTTTGTCCCTTTAACAGTCACAGATGGAGTGTGTCTCATAATGCATTGCACTCTCACAGGTTCACCCCTGTCAGTCTGAAGAGCACAGATCCGTCTGAGCGTGTCATATCAGGACAGATTGTCGGGAACAACACACGTCATGCTACAGACTATCCCAGCTAACAAAAATATTCTAAGACCATTTTGCTTATGTTCCCTTTCAGTTATCAAAACGTTATTTCTACATGATCTCTGCATGTTTAAAACATTAATGTTTTAAAAACTTATTTTGGTAATGCAAACTTTAAGGAAACATTCTGTTTTAAGTAGTGCTGTCAAAAGATTAATTACGATTAATTGCATCCAAAATAAAAAATTTTGTTTACATATGTGTGTGTTATGTATATTTATTATGTATATATAAATACACACACATTCGTGTATATATTTAAGAAAAATATGTTACATTTATATATTAAATATGTTTATATATGAATATAAATATATACATGTAAGTTCATGTAAATATTTTCAAAATATATGCTGCATGTGTGTGTACTTATATATATATATATATATATATATACATAATAAATATACACAACACACACACATATATTATGTAAAGAAACACTTTTATTTTGGATGCGATTAATCGCGATTAATCGTTTGACAGCACTAGTTTTAAGATTTTGCAAACATTATGGAAATGTTATTTTTAAATGTTCTGTGAACATTTTTAAACAAGTAACATATAAAAAAACGTTACATGTCCAATGAAAATGTTTCAGAAAAAATGTTAAATGAACCAGATAACGCTGAATGAAAGTTCTATTAATGTTACTTGAACGTTTGAACATAACTTTAGGAGAACCTCGCCACAACGTTAGTCAAAGTTGGGAACATTCCCTGTTCTAGGACAAAGATATGTGGGTCAGTCAGGCTTGCCATTTACTATACGAAAAATCATTACTGCGTTACTGTGCAAATTCAAACCCCACAAATCATCTGCTTGTTACTTCTGATAGAGCAGACTAGACCTTGTACACAAATGAATTATGCTTGCTTGACCTCAGTTGCCCAGTCTCATGCAAATCTTCTGCAGAAATGTAAAAGAGACAATGACTTTCATTGTTTTTTTTTTGTTTTTAATTCTTGTCCAGTGGGGGAAAAAAATATATATTACTTAAGGAGCAACACTTCATAAGATTAATAAGACTTGTTTCATAGACTGTGTCTTGAATGCCTATTTTGTCATTTTGACTTTTTTGACTTTAAAACAAAAAATCTTCCTGTGTAGTAAGCCAAAATACATCCATATTCAAGATGCATTCTATTAAAGTCTTATATTTAAGTAGAAGTAGATTATTCTTGTATACTTTTAATGAAAAATTAGACCACGTACCTATGAAGAATGGATTTTTTAGTATTGCAGTATAATTGAAATATTGCCCAATGAGCATCCAAGGCTGCAACTATCCATTTCTAAAACAAAAAAAAAAATAATGCATGCTTTTACTGTTCTCTATTTTGTGCTACATGCACATATTGGTTAGCATCTTAAAATATGTTCACAATTGTTTGATTGGGATCTTTGCAGATTGTAAGATTTATCAAATGGGGTGATTGATAAGTAAGCGAATGTGTGAGAGAGCATAAAAGGGAGTTTAGTGCTGCTCTAATTTCCATTCTTCTTTGCATACGAGGTGTCTTTGGTGACCGCTGGTCCGATGAGGCCGGCATTCCATCTGACCTGCCCTTCACGCCCAGCGTTTCCACCGTTATCAGTCGCCATGCCGGTCCTCTAGTAGAGAGCAGCCCACATGTCCCGGCCGACCTTCAGTGGTACCCGAGAGATAGCGGGGCAGGAGATGCAGAGGAAAGGGAAAGTGAAGGATATGACCGGAAGAAGGAAAAGAAGAAGAAAAAGCGGAGACCCAGGGACGAGGTGTACGACTTCCCCAAGGATGTGCAGAGCGAAAGTGCTTTATCCGACAGCCCCCATCAGCCATCCCCGCGCAAGGAACGGGACCGAGACGGAGGCTGGGAAGACGGAGGCCACTTTGGTGGGAGAGTCAAGAAGCCAAAAAGCCGTAAGAAGATTCCCGAGGAATGGGCGATCCATGCAGACCCCTTTGTCCCTGCTTCGGCTTGCATGCCGCAGGAGTTCTCAACTGATTTCTCCCAATCATCCCTTGAAGTTGACAGTGGACTTTCTGCTTTCTCGCTTTCTGAGGACTTCACCGATGAGAGTCTCATTCCCATGTCTCTTACCCAAGATCTTCTATCCCTCACGGCCAGTTCCCCACCATCCTCAACACATCTTGAACCTGCAATGCCCTCTCCAAAGTCTCCCGGTCAAGCCCCCGATTTATCCCCCCAGCACCCCTTATCCATGCCACCCGGATTCCAAGATATCCTCATGGAAACTGAAGATTCTCTTGTTTGCAACCTCAGCGACACTCAGCCTTTCGTCTCTCCTGGTGCGACCTTTGAGGAAGCAATCTTTGGACAAGATCACACCTACACCACCGAAGATTCACCGTTAAAGGAGCCCCAGGCATCCACCCCTGGAAGCACTTGTTTTGTACCACCGATGGAAGCACTGATCTCGGCACCACCGTTTTCTCCATCTGGACCTGCGTGGTCTCTTAATAATCACAGTCAACCCTTTGATCTTGAAGGTGTTTCCTTTGAGACCCCGGTTCCTGCACCTCTGCCTTCGCCCAAGAGCAAAGCCCCAAAGGAACCCAAATCCAAACAAGGCAAGAAGCCCGGCTCATCCTCATCAAAGAGTCCAACCTCCCCTGAAGCAAAGTTGCCGTCTCCCCAGAATTCCGGTCTAAATCCGGCCGCTCTGCCGTTCTTCCCTAGTTTTGCAGAACCTCGGGAGCTCAAAGCAGGAGCGCTCTTCACTTTGGAAGGTTTGTTGTGGACGTTTGGGAAGTGGATCCACGTAATGCATGGCTGAGTGGATTCCAAGCCTGGGCTTGAGTGATTTAAACTGCGCACCGCAATAACTAACACATCACCCGTCAGCTGGAAGCTAGGGTCAGGGTTCGCTCAAAGCGAGCTGGCTTGGTTTTGCTTGGGTGTTTCTTCCACAATAAATGACCAACTGTGTAAACAAGCAAGACTCCCTTCCTCCCCATTAACCTTGTGATCCAGGGTGTACTCTACTAATCCAAACGCTTTGGTTTGCAGTTTGTCGAGGAGGCGTTGTTGTTCCCTCACAATTTTGCATCTCTGCTGTTGTGATTGTTTCTTGTACTAGCACTGGTGGCACCTAACAGTGACAATCTTCTCTCTCGGTTTCCCACCACCCCTTCATATTTCTCTTCCAGCACTTTTAGAGTGAATATGAACCACCCTTGTCACTTTATGAATGTATACAAAGTACAATACAGTTGTAAGTGATATGTTTTCTTTCTTTTTTCTCTTCCATGTTCCCCAACATCAACACACCAATTAGGTAAGTCAACATTTCTTTAGTTATTGCTTTCTCTTTATGATGTCTATTGTGAGTGCATTGTGTAACATCTTTCATTCATAACTTCCTATACTTACCATTTATTGCTGTAGTAGTCTCATGACTAGACGATACTGTGTGTCATTAGCGGACGCCCAACAGTGATTTGCGACTTCAGAGCAGCTAAAGGTCATTATTTGATTGTGAAAGTTGGCAATTTGAGTGGTTGAGAGTGTTGGTGATGCAAGAGTTTAGCTTTATACAAATTTGTAATGATGCTACAACCAATAAGAGAGCAGATTGTGAAATGCTAGTGATGCAATTGGCGACATGCAGTGATATAATCATTGTCAGAGTCTGAATGCCTCTTCAAAGTAGTTTGTAATGGAAATTAACTACAGTAGTCAACATTTGAAGTGGATCAAAAAAGTTCATCAAAGTTGTCCTAAGACAAGAACGCATTTTGCTTTTAGGTTTTAGGACAGTGAAACCTATGATGAAAGGTTTTGATCCACTTCAAATGTTGACTAGTTGTAGTTTGTATCTCAAGTCCAAATTAAGTTAATTGGAATGTGGTACAGAAAGTCCTTGTAGCTCGATAAACAATACTAGCTTGTTTTCAGTAAAGCATTTACGTATAAGTTAAATGTAAACTAGATTCACGAGTGCCATCTGTAAAAATGTATCGTAAAATGGCAGAATGTTTAGTTTCAAGCTATTGAAGTCAACATGAAATTAAAAATCGACTTTGTTTACTTTTGAGTTTTTTTTTTGGTGCTATTCAGTTCCTATTGGCAATTCACCATTTTTAAAATCAAAAAAGTGTGCTTCACTTTGAAATGCATGACATTGTGGAAATAAATTGGGCTGCAAATACTGTTTCATGTAATAACCTTAGCACAACGTAAGCTACGCAACTGCAGAAACGCTGTGTAGTATCTGAGAATGGCTGGTTGCTGGTTTTAGATTCTGTGTGTAGCGCCTTTATTAGAGAGTGAGTGTGTGTGTGTGTGTGTGTGTGTGTGTGTGTGTGTGTTTGAGCGCGTCTGACACAGCTGTCTCTTTTAGTTCTTTGTAATTTTCGGCTCTTTCTCCAGTGGGGAGGGACTCTGTCACTGAGGGAGCTACTTATACACTCTGGGAGACAGGACATCAGCGTTCGGTGTCAGACTTCCCAACATGCAAATTAATGACAGTGTACCGTAAAGTGTGTGTGTGTGTATGTATGTATGTGTGTGTGTGTGTGTGTGGTACTATGAGCTCATGAGATGAAAATAAGGAAACTGTGTTAGCTCAGTGTCAAATATCACATTAGAGTGAATTCTATTAATCCATGTTGTGTTGCCTGCAGTAATACTCCATTTGGTGTTTGTTACCGCGGTAAATGTTTTAGTAAAAGAGTGACTGAACAGAAGTCTAAAGCAGTCCTAGAAAATACACTTATGGTTTACATCATATGGATCATATTTCTTGTGATCAGTGTATTGTGAATGCATTTGTCATGTTTGTTAGTCATTAGTTATTTTTTCATATTTTTTATATATTTATTAATTGTATAATTTATTATACATTCCTAATTAGCTTTAATTTTAGTACTTGAAGTTTATTTCAGTTACATATTTCATTTATGTTTTTCAACCAATATTTTTATTTTACTTTATTTTATTTCAAATAATATAATAAATACTTGTAATGCATGTGATGTGTAAAAATGCATGTGCAGTCCTCTAAATATACCCAATATCCATCATGCAGCATGTTTCAAGGACGCACATCTTTAATGTTTTTGTTGAGGACTTTTCAAAGTAAGATTTCTGCGTGAGTGCATCCTGTGAGCATCTCTGAATGCTGCTGATTGTTTTGTGTCGTGATGTCTTTTGTGTGGTTGTGCTCTTGTGAATCTGCGAGCCGCTGGTGACGGCCAGAGACATTGATTGTGACTTTGAGTAGCATGTGTTGTTATGAATGAAGGAGTGTTAACACACATACACAGAGTGACTCAGCTCAGACGCTTGTGATGGGGAAAACAGACACTTGAGTTTAGTTGTTTCTCTGTTAGTTTACATTTTATAGAGATTCATTTGGGTTTTTAAACGGGTATTATGGAGCAATGATATCGTATGTTATCCTATTTGATTGTGTCGTTTTGTATCGTATGTTTTGCATGCTTAAAAACTAACAACACAATAAGGATGCTTATTTTTTCATTTTGGCTCCATCTAAATAATGGGCTTCAAAATGGCTGTTGACTTTAACCAGCTCTTTACTCACACTGACCTGATTACAGCACATCGAATTGCTGTTCACATACAACTGTTGCTCTCAGATCATTCTCAAGTGAGGTGTTCTGTTTATTTTCATTTACCCAGTTCACAGTTTTTCATTGCTCTTTTTTTTAATTGAAAGATGAATTCTAGTCAGAACTGCTTGAGGGTTAAAGTGTTTTTGTGTTTTATTTCTTTTTTTATGTGCATATGCGTCATACAGCTTTCATGAGTGTTTTTTTTGTTGTTGTTGTTTTTTTGTCCAGTTGGTAATTTAGAAATGGAGTCAGAAAAATCAATTTAGTGTTTACTGCAACATTTTTCTCCTTTAATGTGTGATTTTCAGTATCCTACTCTAAAAGAGAGGAAAAAGCACCAAGTGTGGCAAATATTCAATATTGCATTAGAGTTGAAATGCAATGAAAATCATTCTGCATTGTTAAATTTGGTTGTGCTCCATCTACCTGTTTGGTTTGTTTGTAATGCAAGGTTGTGTGTGTTTTTTTTTTTCCCCATATCTGTCAAACATAGTAAAAGCACTGAATGTTTGACAGCGATGCAGCGCAAAAGCTCCCGGGTCTCCAGCACATGCCTTTTTTGTTGTTGTTGGTGTTGTGATGCAGTGTGATTGTGGTGAAGGGATTTTTGTGACTCTCAGGAGTCAGGAAAAAGAAATAATGTAGCACTAGATGATCTGTAGATATTGGCGCTGGCTACTGACCTATACTGGTTGATCATTGCAGACCTGAACCAAATTGAATTAATTGATTTACATATACATATTCACTACCGTTCAAAAGCTTAGGGTGAAATAAGTCTCTTTTGTTCACCAAGGCTGCATTTATTTGATCAAAAATACTGTAAAAAATTTGAAATATTATTAGAATTTTAAATAAGTGTTTTCTATGTGAATATCTGTTCAAATGTAATTTATTTCTGTGATCAAAGCTGTATTTTCAGCATCATTACTCCAGTCTTCAGTGTCACATGATCTTCAGAAATCATTCTAATGGTGTGTTCACACCAGACGCGAAGCGAATATGCGCATCGCGTCACTCGCTCTAGATTACTCGCGGGATGTTTTTCGTGTCACTTGCGCGAATAAAAACATGGCGCGATCAACCATGGTAGAGATAACTACAATTGCTGTTTTGTACCTGTTGTCAAAAAGTCCCAAATACAATGGAAAGCCAAACGCTGACGTGTCTGGGTTCACAGCACCATCCAGAGGAGGATGAATAACGTTAGGATCCTGTATTAATGTGTGTGTTACATTTTACTACTGTATATATACACTGATATTAATATTATTTTTATTATTGATAGCAGCATCTCTGTAGCCATGCTAATAAAATTCAACTACCACTACAACTGATTTTAATTGTTTTCTATGCTCCAGACCTATATAATAACAGACGGCTGCAATAATGCTCTCTTCTATTGTCTGATTCAACTGGACGTGTCAAGAAACTTTTCGCTGATTGGCTTGCGCGAGAACGCGTCATGCGAATTTTCCGCTCGAATTTAAATTTTTGAACTTGCGCGGAAGACGCGATTGAGGCGAATATCGTACGTTCGCGGCAAACGCATCGCCCGGAGCGAATTCGCCTCTATTCGCGTCTTTGACTTTGTATGTAATCTAATCGCGCGAATAATTACATTCGCGTCTGGTGTGAACACACTGTAATATGCTGCTTTGCTGCTCAAGAAACATTTCTGATTATTTTCAATGCTGAAAACAGTTGTGCTGCCCGATATTTTTGTGGAAACGGTGATGCATTTTATTTTTCAGGATTCACAGATGAATAGAAATTTCAAAAGAACAGCATTTATTTAAAATAGAAATCTTTGAACATTGTAAAAGTTGTAAAGCATTGTAAAAGTCTTTACTGTCACTTTTGATCAATTTA